TACTGGAGAACATCATGTGTTTTCTGGGATGTTAAACATTAGAGCAACAGTGTGTGCTCCAGTAATTAACATATAATAGCAGAAGAACAAAGCATATAGTTAGAAGAAGAACAAGAAAAGGAGTTGTTGAAAAAGGGTTAAAGTAGATGACCTTCCCATTTGGACAATGTCCTAATGTGTCATTCAGATGTCCTGGTGCTGAGCATTAAATAGACAAAGTCTTTTAATTAGACATAAATATGTATTATACAATAAATGGGAAGATCCCTATACACCACTAAGGTATTTATATCTCTACAGGCCTAAGGGGTGTCTGGTGTGGCCTGTTTTGGCTCCTTTAAGGACTTCCATCTGTCTATGATAATGCGCATTTTAGGTCTGCATCTGGTTTGTTCATCGAGTTCACTCAACACACTGCAACAGCCCTGCTTTCTGTAAGTTATATGTAATTTTACACACATTTATGAGATGTAACCAGAAACCAAAGCATACAACTAAGAATCTGTTGGTGTAAAGAATACCCGGAGTCCTTCTAGTTGTATAAGTGTGTACATAACCCTCTAAAAGATGTCACCATATTTACCATTGGTTGGTCACAGAGGCCATGAACACCTGTGCAGTGAGAGAAACAGCCCAATTATATCCTCTAACAATGATGGAAATGTCCCAAAGCGTAGCAGCCCACAAGACACCTGCTGAGGCACCAAAGACAGTGTAGGTCATGTGAAAAAACATCCACATACATACACTGTCCAACACACAGCTGGACAGCAAACCAGAACTAGTGATATTTTCCACAGCAGACTTTTCATAGTAGGAAAAACACAGCTGTTAACCCTTCTGAAGCGTCCCAGTAGTGTGACAGAAAGCCAGCATGAACAATAGCAGGACCCTGAAACTGAAGCAGCTGAATGAAATCCAGCCACCATTTTATTTTTTACACCTGTGCTTTTCCCACTCTGACATGTCAAAATGTCTTTTGAGAAAAGGGCCACATGGCCAACAGGAGAATGTTCCTTATTTAACTGAACTATCAAGCAACACTAACATACATGCTGACAATTTGCACTATATTTCCTGACAATGGTGTGCACTGGTCCTGTTACATTAAAAAGCCACTCCTGGTCATGATTTACATCCCCTACATACTCAATGCCTCTCCTGTCAACAGCCTCTCTAACAGAAAGGTAGTGAGCCAGTAAGCCAATCCTCTGGTGGCGTTCCCTCATCCTCTGTCTATTGTCTGTTCTCATGTCTTCTCTCTGCAGAGAGCCTCACTAAGTAATGAACCAGAGCTGCTTATGTCCACAGACTATGAGGGTACAGACAGACAGAGAGAGAGAGCAAGAGCCCCAGCTCCCACCAGTACAGGCCTTTGTTATATAGTTAATAAACTTAATTTTGATTTTGGTTGGTAGTCCTTTTTGCAGGTTTTGTTCAGGGTTTAAAGATGTTGTGGGTCTGTGTTTAAAGGCATAGCTGTGTTGGTTGGCATTCACATCCTTCTCTTAAGATTGGCAACAGCCTCCAACTGCCTTTTTCCTGAAGTTTTTCCGGAAGTTTAAATCTTGTTTATTATTAAAATAATCAATTGTAGTGGCATCTAATATATTATGGTCTTTACCTGAGCCTATGGCAGTGTGTGTGCTTTGTCAGTGTTAACGAGCCTTAATCAACCTTCATTGTGTGACAGATCTTATTTCTCATGCATCTATACTGAGCAGCACTTTTATGTCAACAGCTATAAAGTGTGTGTCAGAACTGAACATTATATGGTCAATATATAACAAGAACATCAAAAACATAACTCTGGGCATTAAGTGTTAATGACCTTTCCATCACAACAACGCAGGGATGTGTTTCAGTGAGATGTCCTCATGAGAAGTGAATGCGTGAAATAGGAAATATCTTTTGATTTGACACATACAGAGTGGGGAAATAAATGTGGAAAGCCCCTCAAACAACAAGGTTTTCCTTTTATAAAACTCTTACATAGTTGACTTCATAAAGAAATGACCAATAACCTGTTATTAGTACTGCTGTCCAAGTAGTTGTCTAAAACCAGTGGTTGTGCTAGTACTGAATTTAACTATAAGTTATATACTTAATATAAATGTATCTACTTCCACTGCTGCTGTGAGACTATTGTTACTGTACCTACTGCTACTAACTAATTAAATATCAGAAGAAAAAAAAAGAGGGGGTTAAAGAGATATAGCTTGCAAAATACTGAGCAGATAATGGAATTTCATAACATGTTGAAACACATTTTATACACGTTTTTAAAGCACAGTTGCAACATTTCTCACAATGTTAAGGATAAATTCAGCAGGAAAAATCTTTTTAATGTTTAAGAATGAAAATTGGGTCAGCCCAGCAAAATATCAGAATTAGACTCTGAGCCTTAAAAATCATGTGAGTAAAATTAGAATGTTCCCTTCAAACACATCATATTTTAGATAAGCCAGTCACTAAGCCACAATATTCATACTATAAAAGATGAGAAGAAGCAAGTCAGGCACCAAGCAGCTTTCATTATCCCATTTCCTTTAATTGGACTCAGCCTGGGGACATAGGACTCAATGGCTGATCACAGTGGATAAAAACCTTTGGAAAGGCTCTTTTTGGGGTTTAATCAAATACATTTAGCAAAAAAAACTAAGCCTCCGCCATAAATGTCCAAAATGGACTTTGAAGTTCAGCCTAGCACAACTTGTTTGCGCTCCTTCCTTTTCCATGAAGTTGAAGAAATTTGCTTTGAACATCTGGTATGGTACTACAAGTCAAAACTATCCAGGAAGTCTTATCTAACCCTATACATCCATAAAGAATCAATATGCAAAGGAATTTTTGTCTTTGTGCTTGAAAAACATATTTTTATTAAAGGCTTACAGTACAGACATAACACTCACTGTCAGGTTTACATTTCAACTTCACCTTTTGACAATCTATTTATGTTTTATTCAAAATGTCATAAAGGCTTAACTACGGTACTGTGTGTGTGTGTGTGTGTGCTTGGGGCTGGCCTGACTGCAAAAATGTGCAGCCCAGCCTGTAGGCTGTAGGTTTAGTTAATTGTACTCAGCAGACGAGTTTGGGCAGGCTCAAGGTCAAAGACTACAGTATGTTTTCCTCACTTTCCAAAGGACATTGAGAGGTGGTCTCATTGAGGTCTTGGAAGTAATGAGGAGATGTGGCTTATTACTCATAGGTTATCACAATTATGATTCTTGCTTTAACTTTCAGGGCTTAGGTCACGATGCAGAATTAGGTTTATATTAAGTTTACATTATGATTTAGGGCAACAGGGTAATATTGCCCTGTTTCTGACCAAACAACAGCCTGTTCAAAATTTAAAGTATTTTAATTAGCTATAACTATCTAACTTATGTATTTTCCAAACTGCTCCTTCCCGTCAAAGTCTGACTTTGGCTCGATCACTTCACCGTTTTTAACGGAGAACGGCACCGCTTTGCTGGAGTACCGGGGCCACTGCTACCATGACCCACGGCAGCAGTATCGTCCTCCGTGGAAATGGACCCTCTACCAGGCGAACCGTCCCGTCACCTCTCCGTCGCCATCCTGCTTCAACTTACCGGGGGAAGTTCACCACGACTACCATGGCTCTTCGTCGGACACCATATTCAACACCAGCAAGGACTGCTTTCTGTACGGCGCCTCTGATCCCCGTTTTCACGTCCAGTCGTTTGCAGAAAACCCGCGGAGCTTCCCCCCCGGCAGATACACCGCGTTCAGTCCGGACTCACAGCTCCTCTACCCGGGAGGGCGCGGCAGAGTCCTACCGCCGGTTTTCGATCAGTTTGTCGAGTATGCAGAAGAAGGAGTGGACCCGAAAGCGGATGTTTCCCCTGGAAGCCAACAGGAGAAAGATACAAATCGGGCCGAGTGGACGAGCTGTCATAGCGGGGACAGCAGCGAGGTGAGGGAGGGGTCAGACTCACCCCGGCCTGGGAAGGAGGTGGAGGAGGATGCGCCGTTATCCAGCGGCAGCGGAGGAGACTACAGCCATGCACCGAGTGAGTAGAAGCCATACTGTAACCTGCTATATCCAACTAGAGACTGGTTACATTGCTTCACTCCTAAATTACATTTCTGAGAAATCAGACAGCAGTTAAGACAGACAGAGATATTTGTACAACTGAAAGGCCTACTACGTGAAATACATATAAAGGTATTATTATTTCTGTATCTTCCAGGGACTCCATGCTCTGAAATAGAAAAGACTCTTTCGGCTACTGATATTAACATAAAAATATAATTTGGCTATAAATGAATGAGAATGGGCCTAAACTTGCCAGCCAAGAATAGCAAACTTATGGACCTCTGTCTAGGCTAAAATAAACTATTTTATTCATGTATGTATGTGTATGTATTTGTATTTGTTGTATTGCCTGCTGCTCTGTGTTTAGTTTATTAGAACAGGTTCGTCTTTTCAAAATAAAACATTGGGATACAAAAAATAACGTATGCTACTACTTTTCTTGTACAAGTATAAAGAACAAAAGGAATGTACTTAATTGCTCCAATAGAACAATGTAATGTCTCTAAAACGGAATATAGCCTACAGCGTGGCTCATGTTTATAAGGTTAAAAATCGTAGCCTACTTTTCATATTAACAATTTTCCCTATGTAGATAGGGTCTGTTGTGAATGAAGCCTGGATTGATACAAAGCGCTATAAACAGCGATGGTTAATGTTCCAATTTTCTGTCCATTTGTTGGTATTTTTAGTTGCATGCAACTAGTGGTTGGCTGCTGAAATAGTAAATAGTAACATGGTACTAACCACGCATGTGGGCCTATGGTTCTGCCTATAGATGGTTACAAATAACTATGTGAATACTTGTAACACTTGTAAATAGTAAGTAAGTGTAAAGTTGTATTAATTAGCTCAATTTAGGATTTACAGCATGAAGGTTGTGTTTTTTGATCTCACTGTTTTGACTCAGAACTTTACATTCACCTTAAATTAAGAATGACAATTCATGTCAATTAAATTGTAATTTTGTATCAAATTGTTGCTTATCTCTGTTGGATGGATATTCTGACCATTCTAATCAGCACCCCAATTATCTATCTATCTATCTATTCTTATCTATACATCCCGAAATATCATTATCTGTCTGTCTGTGTTTATTATCATGTTTAACCTTTTCCCTCTCTCCAGCAGAGCCCTGTTTGAGGAGGAAGAAGCGTTGTCCTTACTCTAAGCAGCAGATCAGAGAGCTGGAGAGAGAGTTTCTATTCAACATTTACATTAACAAGGACAGACGCATGCAGCTGTCCCGCCATCTACGCCTGACAGATCGGTGCGTCCATATTGCAATATTAATTTTTATTTATTTAATTTTAATTTTAATTTTAATTACATGTTGCATTGTAAAATAATTATACCAGGCAGGCCTGGGCCCCAGTTTTGATTCACTGACTCACATATGAAAGATTTGTAAAATACAAGCTGCTGCCTGGGACACAGGAGCACAGTTACAAAGCAACAACCTTGCTCCACTTGGGGTTCAGATCAGGTTAAATTAGGGCTCACCAGGAGTTATTCAGCATAAGTTTCTGGCTGCAGTGAAGCATTTTTCATTTAATATAACCCAATTACCCAGTTTCTGGTTCCACTTGCAGCACAGTGCTATGAAACCCATGAGTAGGATAATTATTTACATTTATTTTTTTTTACACTGGAAAGAGAAAACATTTTACAATTTTCTGACAATCTTCTGATTAATCACAAAAGTAATTGGCATATTAATAGGTAATAAAAATAAGTGAGTGAGAAGCCAAGGTAGTGATAGATGTAACACACAAAGTTACACTATTCCACACCATGTGTAGTATCGGGAACGGATGATGTTTCTGTAACAACATTTTTTTAGTTTTAAAAATTCATCATCATATTTATTTGGCATGTGCGTTTGTTGTAGGCATAGTAGATGTAGGCATAACTAATAAAAAAAAATTTGGTGATGACTTTCCCTTATGAATATTCTGTATGAGGAACTTCAAATAAACTCTGTCTTAGTGAAAACAGCACAGAGAAATCATATAGTAAAAACATGTTTTTTATTCTATTCTTTGCTGATCCAGACAGGTGAAAATCTGGTTCCAGAACAGAAGAATGAAAGAGAAGAAACTGAAAAGAGACAGACTGCAGTACTACACAGGATACCACCTGTTTTGATGGACAGGTGAGGGAGAAAGAAGTAAGAGACAGTCTTTCTTCCAACCTCATGTACAGACTGTGTGACAACTCTGGAAACTGTGTCACAGCACTGTATATAGGCAGGTTAATAGAGACATAAATAAAAGACAAACACAAACAAATAGATAAACAAACCCACTTCCTTCCTGTCATCTAAGGAGAACCCCAAGGCTCATGTTTTGGCCCCGTGTTTTTTTTCTTGAGTACAAACACACCATGGACAGTAAAAAAACAGCAAGGTCTCCATTGAATATTCTGTCTCTTATCAAGAAAACACTCAGAATGCTCCTTTTGCCTCGTTTGAACCCAACTTCCCTCTGAAGTCATGTGGCCTACTGTGGACAAATGAACCTCTCTGTGCCTCAGGCCTTCATGTCCTAATATAGTAAGGAATGAGGACATACATTTAAAAAACTAAATATAGGGAAACATCAAATACAGATGAAGCTCTTGCTTATCAGTGGAGCCTTGTGTTTTGCAGTTCACATTTCTCTGAGTATTTGATTTGATTTATTTGTTTTATTTTTTGGGTGTTTTGATGTTGACTTGCACTGCTGACAATCTAATGGTGTGTGTGTGTGTGTAAATGAGTGTGGTTCTGAGCTTTTAAACTGAACAGATATACCACTATTGATGTCATCACAATGTTTTTTAATTATAAATCCTCTTGCTGTTCATGTGAATTTGTTAATAAGTGACGTGCCTGCGCAAGGTTAATAACAAATGACAATTATACTTCATATGATAACATTTAGCAATCTATTTAGCATATAAATATAATCATTTTTTTCAAGCAAAGACAATCTACATTAATTATTCTTATATTTGTGACATTTGATATTGGTTATTATTTTGCTTCTGTGTTTTTAGAAAAACGACTGACTGCATAAGAAAGACATATTAACTGTATTAAATCTAACCAAATATTGAATGACATACCATTATTTCATGCCTGTTTTCTACTTTTGTGTCAAGTGTTCGTCCTTGCATTTATTGCAAGATTACTCAGCTTGGATTTTAATATATTCATGTCTTATACTTCAATACATACACTTGAAGACAATGTATTAAAATATTTGACAACCATATATAATAATAATAATCGCTATAAGAGGAACTGTTTGTTGTTGGACTTTGATGGAGGCATGTGTAATCCTTAATTTGATGTAAAAACCTTGATGTAAAATAAATTTGAGTTGTGAGGGTTTTATGATGCGATTTTGTATTTTAAATTGCATTTCCATTTTACTCTGAAATTTGCAAAAGCTTTCAAGCCTTTGAAAACAAAAACCACACCAAATTCATATGACATTTAAAGTTTAGCTTTAGTCTGACTGTGAAATTATAAATGGAAAATAACATTTATATTTACTGTCTCTTAGTGGTGGCAGAAATCAGTTTAGACACTTGTTTTATAAAATAATATACATTATAAAACAAGAAAATATTTACACAAACGACACAAACAATGCTTATTTTAAATGCCAGTTTGTTACAGCATTGTCTGGGGCGATTCAAGGTCTTGTTTGAATGTTTTTATATAGTAATAAAATGAAATGCATGTCATGTGTGATCACCTCTGGAACAAAAAAGTATACCCAGAAGTACAATTAAATAGGCTCACATTTCAGATGATGCCTAAATCGTAAACACAACCATATTAAGCAAAAAGCAGGGTATTTGCAGGTAATTGCAGCCCCAGGTTACATTAATATAAAATGTAACATCCGTAAATTAAATTTAAAACTATAAAAGAAAATAGGTATTAAATAGTGAATTTTCTCTTCTCTTCACGCTGGAGTTCTGACCCAGACTTTGAACACCGGACAAGACAGCAGAAACACACAGTGAGTCCAAGGCTGCAAATGAACCTTGAACACCACACCGTCACAACCACCATTTCCTCCACCTAATGACTTTTATTGGGGCAATACAGACAGTCTGCTGTCTCTACCTCTTTGTCTCACTCAGTCTGTGTGTGTGAGTGGGGCTGTGCGTGAGTGTGTATTTGTGTGTGACGTAAAAAGAAGATGAAAGGGGAGATTGTGTTTCTAGTTGGAACTAAAGGCATTCAACCTAATGACCTACAATAAACTCCACCGCAAGCCTGCCGGGCCTTTTTTTCCACCAGTACAGGCACGTTTATTTATATATTTTTATTATTATTGCAGGCATTGTGCTGTTTTATTTACATTTTTAATCCTAATAATAGAAGTAGAAACAATAAGACTGGCATATTGGAGTGCAAACCCTATTAATAGTATAGGAGTAGTTGAAGAGGCAGTATTAGGGGTAACAGGTATCAGCAGCAGTATTAGTAATAGTCGTAGTAGTTAAAGGAGTCGTTGCAGATATTGTGTGGTGTAGCAGCAGCACTATTGTTAGAAGGAAAAAAAGTGACAGTTACAGTATTATATTGCAGTGTTGGTGGTAGCTGTATTAAGATGTGTAGTGTAGTAACATTAGTGCCAGCAGCAGCAATTAGAAGCAATAACAGCAGTTGTTGTAGTAGCTGCAATGATAGATGTATCAGTCATAGAAATAACAGGGAAAAGGCAACACTTTAAGTGTTTATTAATGTATGTGTCAACAACTGTAAGTCCTCTTGTGGGCATATATTGTATAATGAATAACAATATAGTAAAAACACAGTTGTATCAATATAGAATATATCTTCATAGGAGTTTTAATTGTTGACAAATATTACACATTAATAAACACTTAAAATGTCTGTTACAACTACATTATAGTGTGTTATAAATCATTTATTTATTTTTAAATACTGCTTATGCACACTAATGTGTGCTCAGAACAGCAATAGCAAAGTGGTCATGACAGTAGCAGCAATGGAAAGAGTAAATCGTAGTAATAGTACTTACTCAACTCTAAAACAGCTGACTCAGTTTATGGCAGTGCAGTGTGGGCAATGTTGGCAGCGTCTGTCCATTACTTTTTACAGTTTGTTGAATAAATGTATGTCAGCCTGCGAGCATTACACAGCAAACACCCCAGATTCTGTAACAGCAGGTTGAGCTTGACCTCCCACCTTCACTACCAGAGACACTGCCTCCTAGAGGAACTTACTGCAATGACATCCATCTGGCCTGAATCCTCCTGGGTCCAGTTAAATTAAATTATAAGCGCTGATTCATGTGTTTCTTCCTTCTATTAATGAGATCAGCTGAAAGAGTTTATACTAACTTGATTATGTGCTAAATAAGAAAAATACATTTAGGTGCCCTGTTTGGTGAAAAAGAACAGAGGTCTTCAAGGTTGGCCCGCTAAATATGAACTTATTTATTAAATAGTTGTGTTAAAATGATCAATGAATCAACTCACTAACAGTGTCTCTGGGGTTATATTTAATTAAAAAAATACTCTCAAATAAGATGCCTCCCTCTCTACTGTAGATGTGTGTGCCTTGTTGCATGACAAGTTTGGGAATCCCGCCTGTTTTCATTCACACAGACAGCAGATGGCGCTAAGAGTGCACATGAAACAGCGATCAAGGTCTATGTTAGAAAATGTGCAAAAGCGTCACAGTTCGTTTTTGTCTTTAAGCCACGCCTCCATTGGCTTGTCACCCTTCTTCTCCAGCCAATGGAATTTCACTTTCACACACAAACATGGGCACAAGAACGATGGATGGAGAAAGTCTTTAAATAATTGGCATGGGGGCAATTGCAAAGTATTCAGTATCTTAGAATGACCTAACTAAATAATACCATATACAGCCGGAGCAGGCCGTGGCCACTGGTACGTTAGACCCACTGAAAGATAGATCCATGTGTCTCCAAAAAGTAAATTATGAGCTAAGAAAAAAGGGCCCTGTTTTCGCCTTTGTGACCATGCATTTTTCAGATAATCCAATGAGAATTTAAATTGTTTAATCTTTCTGAAAAATTCAAACTCAAGAGTAAGAGTACCTAAACTGGGGATAAGTGGTTTCCACTGGACAGACACGGGTCTCAACAGCAAAACATCCAAACGCAAACATGAATCAAAAATTAAAATAATATACTTGTAGCCTAAAATCAGAATCAGAATCACTGTAATCTAATCTATGTGCAATCGCACAAGCAGGCATGATTCATTCATTTATTAATTTGTCAGTTTATTAATAAGTGAGTAAGTAAGAAAGTCAATAAATAAACAACAAAAGACAGCTTTTAAAAAAACAGATAAGTGAACTAGTCCACTGATACAAATCCAACTGGAGACCACTGACATTTTGGGTTGTGGTATGCGCCAAAGAAAGCTCACATAGCGCCAACATGAACTTTTTTCAAGATCACTTCACTAAAAGCTGAAGATAAAAAAGAAATCACTTATCCGGACAAAGAAAAGCCAAAGCCCATCTCCCCTCTTTTAATCTCAGCCCCGATACACTTTGAGACCACACATACACACACACACACACACACACACACTTCAAACAAGCTTGTAAACGACTCTCTGCTACTTTTTATTCAGCCTGTAAAACAGTGTTTCAAGTATTTTTTAAACGCCACAGTGTATGCTCCATTCAGGCCCATCTGGCAGCGGGGTCGTGGGCCTACTATCACATTTCTGAGCACAAAAGAATTATTTGATTTATTTCCTATACTGGGTAAATACAGTCCAACCATGTGATCCACAGTGTAACCAATGGGCAGCCGAGAAGAAGGTAAGGGCAGGAAAAAAAAATTACTACCATTTTAGGGGAGGATGTAAGGCACTATACCAGCCCATCTAACGTTTTACAGTCGCACTTAAGTGTCTTTTTATTGAAATAATAAAATAAACATGTCGCTAACGAATTATTATTCCATGATGGGGCTCCAGACCGAGGAGCCGTACGGTGCACATTTCATCCCGGGAGGCTTGCAGGGTTCGACGGCCGGCTGCGCAAAGACAGCCCGGGGAGCGGAGGAAGAGGAGGGGACCCCCGGCTCACACATTCCGGATTTTTCACATTTTTCCAACAAACAAACGAGCTTAAACGGCTTTTCTCCTTGGACAAACACCTCTACTTCCTCTTCATCCTCTTCTCCGCAGCTGCAGTCCACCCCCGGCGCCTCCATCCCCGGCCTTTTTCATCCACATCACCTCCTGAGCCACCACCACCACCACCCATACTACGGCCCGCAGGCGCAGACCCACGCCGAACACCTCGCATCCGCGGCCGCTTCCGAGAGCAGATTCGTCCGCTGCTGGGAGGGTGCGACCCCCACCTCGGAGACCTCTCTGTCACATGCGTCGGCCAGTTTTCCCGGGTGTCTCCCCGCTCAGGGTGACCTCTCCAATCCGAGCCCGAGGTATGAGGCGGTTAAACCTGAGAATTCACCGCCGCCACAAGATAGCCCCGCGGATTCCAGCTTCGCCAGCCCGACTGAAGTGGTCCTAGAGCGGCTTGGGACCGTGGAGGAGCTGCGGAGAAAGCCGGAGCCCAAAAAAGAGGACGAGGAGAGGAAAACACGGCCACAGCTTGACCCGGGTAAAGACAGAAACTCAGGGATGTTTATTAGCATGTGCATACACAGCTGTGTGTGTGTGTGTTTGTCAGTGTGTGTGAAAGAGAGAGAGAGAGAGAGAGAGAGGGAGAGAGAGGGAGAACGTGGCTTAAGAAAGTAAGTAAGTGTGTGTGACTTTTATAGCCCTATAAATGTCTTGTAAACGGTAAAATATAAAACTTTATTGTCCATTAAAATAATTAAGGTGCTATTGCTGTTATTTAACAATTTGTCACTGGAGGGAAGACGCAGGTAGGGTTGCGCTGCATTTCTCTGGTAGGATTTGTGCTGCAATTAATGCTTATTGTTTTGTAAAAGAAAAAAATAGCAATAGGTTTTTACAAGCATGTCTATGCAAAAACACCATAATCATTTATTGGCCCTATTGTTCTAGTTTACACAGAACTGACAACAATTGTTTTTAACTTAAGATATGCAAGTATTCAAAAAAAAAAAGTCTCAATTACAATAAATAAAAATGACGTTAAGCAAAAAAATATTACTGGGCTTATAATAATAATAGTAGTAATACCATTTATTGGCTATTATTAGGCCTAGATATTTTCATTTGCTACATTTAATTTTCTTCCTGCTATTACTTTCCAACTTTCTGTAAATTCAGGCTATTGGTTTATTGTTAAAATGTATGTGCAATAGACTGAACGAAGAGAAGAATGAACTTCTGTTTGCTTTTCTGTGTCAGAAAATCAGCTTTGAAATATTTTAAATAGCAATGATTTATAGAGATGAGTAAATGAGATCTTCGCCAACCTGAAGTGAATTTCATCAAATAAGTGATTGAGAAACTGAAGCAAACTGAGAAAAAGTCCTCTGTGTGGTGTGAGTGTAGCATTACCAAGCCAAAGCCAAAACAGCCAACTTGTTGCTCTCTTGCTGGCTGTCTGTCTAACTAGTATTTCATTGCACTCTCTGGCTGCTTTACGTTGTTAAAGTGGCCAATAAAGCATTTTCATATCAGTCAAAGGTTCAAATATCCTTCTCCAACTGCAGTTTAATAATTCTAAAAATGAGCCTCAGTTTGGCTGTTCATCATTACTGCCTGCACTCAGACAGTAATTTAGACTATTTATGGGATACACTGCTGTATTTACTGCTACTTGCTGTCCTCCCAAAAACATTTTAAAAGGTCTATAGCGACATCAGTAACCAGGAACGTAATTTTACACAATGTCACGTTATGTTAAATTATTGAAATAAAGAAAATGTAAAAAGAGGGCATAAACAACTTTAATGCCTCAGTGACTTGGTAAAAGAAGCAATGGGGTTTTAAAAAACACTTTATTTATGGGGCTGTGCGGTTGTTTCTTTTTCTAATGAGGCAAAAGTTGCAGGCTTATAAAATTTGTTCCTGAGAATATTTTCTTTGGTTTGTATGTCAGTCTTTGAACTCCCCAAGGCGCATGCACACACACACACACAAATATGCATGCAGATAGCAAAGTAAATATAGTGGTGTGTGGTTAAAGTAAGAATCTCTGGCACCCTGTGTCTTCTTCTGCAGAAAATCCATCAGCTAGTTGGATCCATGCCAAGTCCACCCGGAAGAAAAGGTGTCCGTACACCAAACATCAGACCCTGGAGCTGGAGAAGGAGTTTCTCTACAACATGTACCTGACCAGGGACCGGCGCCTGGAGGTGGCAGGACTCTTAAATTTGACAGAGAGACAGGTCAAAATCTGGTTCCAGAACAGACGGATGAAGATGAAGAAGCTGATGACCCGGGACAGGAGGAGTATGAATGAATGATGGATTTGGAGTTGCTTTTTCCAGGGTAGGTGTGGAGGAGGTGAGGTTATAGCTCATAAAAAAAACGCAGTGCTCCATAGATACCCAACATCTTTAACCTCATGATCAGCTGTTACTAAGCAACGGATTGTGGAGCTAACATGGCTGCCTTGGAAAAAAACTGCAGCGGTGAAGCTCTGCAGGGGAGACCAGGATGTGTTGTAACACTTTTTAGAAAATATATTCAATGCCTTTTGGCCTTTTTCATGTAAGATCTTCTGAACTCTGGTGTAGAATTCATCCATCTGCATGTTACAAAATGAGGAAAGTCAACCTCTAACCTGGTATAGTTGTAAATAATGCTCAGAATACAATGTCAACATTTACAGGGAGATCCATAAATTGAATGAAAAAACATACTTGATATCAAAGACTTTACTCATTTTCAAACACATCTGTTTTTGATAAGGTTGTATATCTCTCATGTCCAAAACTGAAACTACTTGACACATACTTGACTTCACATAAATTGAGTGTGCTTTCCGCCAAGATGTGAATTGTGTTTTATGATTTAATGCTAAAAGTGTTCCTCATAAAAACTGCTTTCAGTGTGCCAGATGAGACTACACTACAAGGCAACCATCAAAGATAAATCCCATGAGTGTTCTTATGTCGGCGCACCTGTTTGTTGGGGCCTGAAAAACAGTCGCGTGTGTTTATTTGAAATTAAAATAAAATACTCATGGAAAATAAGCTTAAATAAAACAGGAGCCTTCCACTCATAATTAAATAATTGCCTATAAGAGACGAGAGTGAAACAAAGTGCAGTGGTAACTGATGTAAACAGGAATATAAGCAATTTATATACTTTATCGGTCCATTTGTTTGCTTGAACTTAAAGGTGAAATCTGTTAATGTTCTTGGTTTAAAATACTCTAATTTTAAGTCCAGTTCACACAAGATAGTATATGTGAAACTGCTGTTTACACGTATAAAATGTATGAAAACCACAAGTACTTATATGTTAAAATCAACACATGTGCCTAAATAAATTTTTAACATGGTTTTTCCAAATAGGATACATTGACATGTGCTCTTTTACAAGGGGAAGTCTGTTCAAACCAACAAGTTAGCCTCCTTTTAAACTTAAATATCCAACATCATTTATATGAACCACTTCAGCAAATACCTTTTTGGATATGTATATTTTCTTTCTGCCAGATGGCTGCATATGCACACAACAACCAGGTGAGATGTTGCTGCAGAAATGTACAAATTCCAGCGTTATGGAGTACCCAAGTGTTTCCCAAAGACCGCAGATTGTAACATATCATTGCAACATGCTGACATATGTGTATTCACAACCTTATAGATTATTACACAGCTTGCAATTGTAACCTCAGTGGGGAAGATTAGCATTTGTTTCAGAACAAAAGATTACTGTTTGCCTAATTTAAACTACCGAATAAACAAAAATAAACAAACAAATTATTAATTGAATGCAATAAAAACAGTAACATGAAAACACTTTTGAGTGATTCACAATGTATTTTAAATGCTGTCTGAGAGGCCCATACACAGATAATCATGTGTTTTTTATCATCCTCCGTGTTACAACCAACCCCAGTCTCCCCGAAAATAATAAGCAGAAGGGACTTTTAACATTTTGTTCCTCAAAACAGAATAAGCTTTTTTTGTTTTTTTTTATAAACTGTGCATGTAGCCCGATGGGCATATTTGTTGTTACTGTTGTTGTTGCTGTTGTTGTCATTGTTGCTATGTATATCTGTTGTTACATATGTTGTTACTGTGGGGTCTAATATGCAGATATGGCCATGCCTATAATCCTTTACACACACACACACACACACACACACACCAGTCATGGCTAAGCTATGGTGTGACAGCAGTCAGATGGTTATTTTGTTTCACTGTTACCTCCTGTAAGAATAAACAAGACGTTTTACAAGGACTACATACAGAAACAACGCACAACTCATATTAGAATGTAATAACATCACCTTGAACTATTATAGGATTATTATAGGGATATCAAAGGTATTTTAGTGGGGTTTTCTTTTCCATTTGTTTTTCATGAGGATGAGACGGGCTCAACACATTCTCTCTGGGAGAAGAGGAAACACAACAGGCTATGTTAGCCTACAGCGGCAGGCCTGTGCTGTGATTTAACTGGATGTGATGAAATGAGGCCTTCATCTGCTCATTTAGGCGAACATGTGCTGCTTTTTAATGAAATAAAAGCTGGATTACTTCATTGTTAACCATGCGCTTTCCCTGTTGTTTTTATTTTCCGTTTCCCTTCATCCTTTGCGATGTATCGGTAATTGGGACTACATCGTTTTAGCCTTTTATTTGATATTTCCACTAATACTAAGTGTGTAGTTGTAGAAGCCGTATTACCTTTTAACCATAATTAGCGACATAATTATAATATCAGACTACTACTGGGTTACTCTAATTATAATAAGAAGAAATATATTTAGTTTTTTCGGATTATTATAGCTATAATAAAATTAAAATGTATACTTTTTGCATGAAATAGAGAACCACACACAACATACTACTACATTACAGCATTAAACTGACTACTTTTAATAATAAAATCAGTCTTATACTCATTATCCTGTACTATAATGGTATGACCAAGAGTAAAACAAAAGTACCTCACGTTTGACGTTTCACCGGATTATAGGCCAATAATGATGTTTTTATTAGGATTGTATTATTCCAACGTCAAGGTGTTTCACTGCTCTCAGGTATGTAGTCTGAGTTTCAGTCCACAGAGAGACATTTCTGCCTCCTTGTTTTGTCAAAGTCAGTGCAGAGCCTCATAGCTTCCCTCATTTATTGCGGCCATATAATCTGCTCAGGGCTCATCCTACTGCAGGGTCATAAACCAACAGCATGCATTTGGAGAATAAACGTGACTTTCCCCACACTCAAGACAGAGACACACACACAGAGAGGTGCCATAAAGTCATTTAGTCCAGACAGTCATCGTGACTATATGGTTTTATTGGACACCCTTTCCTGCCTTGGAGCCTCAACTCTCCTTCTAAATGTTAAAGTCATTGTCTGGAGATGAGACCAGACAGCCTCAATCACATTTCTACAGACCACGAGATCACAAAACACAGGGCATTTTATTATACAGGGAATTAAAAGGTGGGACAAAAGCGATTGTGCCTGAGCAGCATTTGACTGTGGATTTGGTTGTTTCTTGTAGGCCTATATTTTTAAAAACCCGGATTATCGCCATGATTTCAGGCTGTATTTATGACTTCAGTGCAACCGACATAAGAAACTGCCGCAAATCGTTAATACTACTATTTGTGTAATGAATGAGTGACTTTTTATTCTATTTCCGTTTTCTTGCTATGAATAAGTGGCAGGCTCGCCTCATTTTCTAAATTAAAATGTCAGTCTGACCCTTTTACGCACGCCGTGTGTGAGTTATTTCATACTGACCGTGCGCTATGGCTTCATATGGTATTAATACTATACCAGATGAAGAAAGACAAGAAAATGTACAAATATTTCATAATAACTAAATTAGGAAATCTATTGTTAAACTACACAATTTCACTCCAAACAAACTGAACTATGCAGCGCAATAAAGGCAAAAAAGAAAAGTAATTAGTTTTACAAAAAATACAATGGAACAACAACAACAACAAAAAGGGTTTATAAATTCATATTAAATATAGGCTACAGAAGTTAACTAGAAGGTGTCATAAAATAAAATGAACGAAACAACCGCATTAACAGTGAACTCCAACAAAGGGAATACTGCAGAAATTAAATAGGACGGCAAATTATGTTCAAATGATTGCTCCCGATTAAATGTTGCTCCCAATACAATGTCTGTAATAACATCAAATGAATTCACAACGGTGCACTAACATAGACTGTAATAACTGAGTTGAGTTCCATGTAAAATGATTACTTAGAAAAAAGGATTCTGCAGCGGGTTTAATACCCGAGCTGTAGCAGTCTTATGAAGTTGTAGCTAGTAACATCAGTATATACTATACAGCCTAATATGAATAGTGTTCTATTCTTTAAGGTGACGATATAATTAAATTACACTGAATTACATTGAAAGGGACAGAACTGAACGTGGAACCATAGTGTGGAATAAAAGTAAATTATTAGAAAACTATTTTGTCAATGTACTGATTAATTTAGTTGACTCAAAGTGAAGCCACTGGATTAAAACATTTAAAGATGTGAAGTGTCTTTAAAGACTGAAGAATACACAAAAACACCAAGAATCAGCACTGTAGAGTGTGTGTGTAGTAACCGACTCTGTCCGCTGGGTGGAAGTGTCGTGCTGCAGTAAAAGACAGCAGTGGTTCTCAATCCAGCGATCTGAGTTCCAATCTCAGCAGAACCTGAAGTTTCAAAATCTATTAAAACAATTTGAACAAAAACAGAGCTTGAAAAAGAAAATACTCAATGAAAATGCCACAAGTAAAAGTGTGTAAGTATAATCAGAAACTGTAGTACTCAAAGTATATTAAAACTGTCCCCTGTGACTATTGTACTATTAGGTACTTATTATTAGATTATTAATTATTAAATCCTAGTCGGTTGAATTCATTTTGAACTGAACTGCGACTAATGATTGTTTCTATTATGGATCAATGTGCTGATTATTTTCTCAATAAATCGATTGATTGATTTGTACAAATTCTAAAAAATAGTAAGAAAATGCTGTCACAGTTACTCAAAGTAACACCTTCACTTTTGTCCAACCAACAGTCAAAACTATTAAAAAATAATAACACCATTCAAATAATTAAAAGGAAAAGCAACAAATGTGTGAAGTATGAAATGTTTTTGAATGAAAAATGACTGAAAGGAGGACCAAAAGAGTTCACAATTATTCTTTTGTCAATCGACTAATTGATTAAGTGACTAATCATTTTAATCATAATCAGCTGGACTTCCTGTTGAGTAGTTTAACATATAAAAAACATATTTTAAAAGCACTTTGT